GCCCGGGGCTCCGCGGGACCCCGGGCCCGTCGTCGTCGAGCGCCGGAGCGGTCCGACCACGCAGCCCACGTCCCCCAGCTGTCGAGTGGCAAGGGGAGCCCCTGAAGGCGCATCCGGCGACTCTTAAAATTCAGAGTTCAAAGCGAAGACGCGTGGGGTAGGGCGGTGGGAAGTCAGGAGTTCAAGCCCTGAAAGCAAACAAGCTGACTTTTTTCCTCCTCCGGTGTTACTGCAAGTTTTCTTTCAACTGGTAGTTACGAAGTGGCTGCTTGTTGCTTTTGAAAAGACACCCAGGGCGCCACACTTGGAGGCTTAATGTTTGCCTTCCTACATAACGGGAGGTAAAAGTGAACTTATGTGGACTCTGGGTTTGGGAATATTTGAGCACCCAGTCTCAGCAGATGAACAGATAAGCAGGTGACTCAGGGTTGTATTAGGAGGTTCTTTAGAGACACTTATTTGTAAGGAAATAGATTGAAGCAAAAGTTGAAATTTGCATTTGAGTATTTTCTCTCACAGTCTTCTAGTTTTGAAAAGACAAGAGCTTCATATACTATTTATATGAATTAAAATACCATAAAATATAGCGCTTGACATTATGAGGGTCATTAAAATGGGAAATGTAGAGATAGATGATCATGAGAAGTAAAGTCTTCTGTTTCATAGCCAAATGAGTCAAGACCTTTCTTGAATTCTGAGAAAAATAAGTCAAACTTATGCTTTCAAGCACAATCTAAAAAAAAAAAAGAGAAAACTGTTGAGAGCTTCAGAGTTAACTTTAGGACCCATCTCTTCCTGAAGGCAGTATCCTTTCTGAACTTAGGAAATCCCATAGACCCTAAGGATGTAATTAACTCAGGTAACTATTAATGATCTAATAAACAGCTCCAAGGGGAGTCTGAATGAGTCTCAAAGAGAAGCTGAAAGATTTAACTCTGAAATAAAGATTATTAAAATAACAGCTACAAATCAACAACACACATCACCTATAAATTGTCATTCATTTATGTTATAAGAAAGGTATATGTCCTCAAGAAACTTTTACTTTCTCTAGTTCTCTATCTAGCTACAAATAAGTTAAAAGGAAGTAGAAGGGGGACACACCCCCAAAATGGAATTTATCTACAAAAACGTGTGTATTTATTCTTACATGTTTAAATTTCAGTCACCTTTAAAGCACTCTGTTTGATGCAACACACCTATCGAGATGCTTTTTCCACGGCTCAAAACAGTCTTTGAACTGTCCACTTGGATGTTTTTTAGTACCTCTGCCATGTTTTTGTTTCACCTCTTCCACATTGGCAAAACAGTTTCCCTTGGAGGTCGTTTTTCATCCAGGGAAACAAACAAACAAAAAGTCACTCAGGGCGAGATCAGGTGAACAGGGAGGGTGGAGTATGGGGGGTCATGCTGTTTTTTGCTCAAAAATTGCTGAAGAGTCAGTGCAGTGTGGGCAGGTGCACTTACAAATCACCCATCGTGAAATGGGCAAATGTGTTGAAAGGGTCTCCAAAAAATAATTCACTGGAGCTGAACGCAGCCTCTCACAACGATGCTCCACTGGTACGCTGGTGCCAATAGGTTCCTAGAACACTTACCTCACCAGGGAAACCTGTGCTACAAGGGGCCCACCCTCCAAAAGATGATTCTGGTTGTTTTTGAGTCCCTCCTTGTATTTAACTTGTGTTTAACTAGAAGGGCAGGGCACAGAGGGATTGACCCTCATCTGACCTGTGGATACCAAGGAGCACATCTTCCACCCTCAATCCCTGGTTTGTCCCTCTGATCCAGCTCACCCCACCTCACTCAGCTCACCTCACCTTACCTAGCACTAAGCATCTCCACCCCAGCTCTAGTTTCCAAGAGGCTGGGGTTAGAGTCCAGTCTCTACAGACTTCACTGTTCCACCCCACCCAAACATCTTGGTCTCACCTTTTCTCTCTTGAGCTTACTCGCCATGCAGGAAAATCATTCTTCTATCCAGTCTCCACTCTATCTACCCTTGAGGACTTTAGCTGTGAAAAAGGAAGACCAATTGTGTGTGTGTGTGTGTGTGTGTGTGTGTGTGTGTAAGCACAAGATAATCAAGGCCTGAAAAATGAAAAGACAAACGAATGTAGGAGAAATAACAAAGGAAGAATTAACAGAGTGGAGTGACTGGCTAAGCTGGATGAGGGAATGAGTAAGGCAGAACAAATAAAGTATTTAGGAAAGTCAGTAGCTATTTTGTTCAAGCAGGTTAAGTCGGGAGGTGTCAGCAGAAGTCTAGACACACTATCCAGAGGGCAGCTTGAGATGTCTACACCAGAAAAGTCAGAAGATGAAAACCACTGCCACATGCCACAGTGTGAAAAAATACATCCTGTTACTATAATGCTCTAAGGACTGCTGTAATATTAGAAACTTCACGGTGGTATTATGAAAATAGTTGTCTGGGAGACAAAATTGATTTCGGTTTTAATATGCTTGAGTTGGGGGGAAAAAAGAAAGCATTCTCCATAGTAATCCTCTAGACAGAAGACTCTCAAACCACTTTTGTGATATTTCCAACTCTTAGGATAAAAGAATATTCTCTTTCTGGAGCAAGATCCCAGGAGCAGGATGTCTTTGCTGGATTTTTGTTTGACACCCTTATTTCTGTTGTCCTCATTTTTGGTCCATCACTTAAAGTTATGTTTTCACACAACAGAAAAATTTTGTGGGAGAAATTATAAGATTTTTGAATCTAGGAATAGTGATTTCAAATGATGATAGTACATTCTCTCAGTCCCTCACATGTCTAGTAGCTTCTTGCTCTTATTCTAGTCCTCACCTCTCCTAACTCTTTATTTTCTCATCGCATGCAGTTACCCACTAAGGCCCTACCTCTCCAAAGGCCTTCTGAAAGCAGTAAGAATTTACAAGTATTAAGGGAAGAGTAGCGCCAAAAAGATGCTCACTGTATTTTAATAAGAAGGACTGGAAAAACCACTGGAAATTAAATAATTTTCTACAGAGATGAGGTCAGCATTTTGTGAAAGGAATTAAGTGTCATGTTGTGCATAAGTCTTGATGGACGGCATATGCTACTTTCATAGGCCTTTATTTGCAGGACCGTCTAAACCACATTTTAAAAAGCTGAATAAGGTGCCCTATCTGTGGTTATTCAGGTTATAAGTGCATAGCCCTACTCAGCTACATATGCCCAGATTAATGCATAAAACTGAATTTTAGAATTTGCCTAGATCATTGAGCTTCTCCCACAATTTTTGTTATTCTAACTTTGGTGGTTTTACTTTTGAGTCCATAATAAGAGCAAGTACTCTTGTTTTCCTTGGTTACTGAGGAAGAAAGTCTGTCCCACAATATATTTTAAAAATCAGCCACCTTTTGATATATCTAGGACCTGTTATATCAGAGCTATTAAGTTTTCCCCACATATTAAAGAGAATCACGGATGTCTTTAGGAAATCTTGCATGGGACCACTAAACATCAGAAGCACCTAAACTATATTTCGGGATTTTAATTTCACTTTTAACTAGCATAGGAGGGCATTCCAGGGAAGAGTGCTTTAGAAATGGTAAAAATACAAGTTGTGTATTTCCCAAAACTCATAGGTACTCCACCTTAAAACTTACTTGGGTGCTTCAAGAGGCAAGTAAAGATTTTGTCCGCAAATGAGATTTTTTTAAAACAGCATTATTGAGACATAATGCCATAGAATAAACTGCACACAACTATAATATACACTTTGAAAGGTTTTAAAATATTTACCTTCACCACAGTCAAGACAGGGAATGTTTCCATTATGCCAAGAAATTTCCTCATTCCCTTTTCCTCCTTATGCCACCATCCTTGCCTCTAGGCAACCACTGATCTGCTTTCTATCACTAATAAATTAGATTGTACTACTTTAGAGTTCTGTGTAAATTGAATCACACAGTATGATTTGTGTCTGGCTTCCTTCACTTAGCCATTTTATTTTGAGAATCACCTATGTTATCATGTGTGTGTTAATAGTTTTTTTCTTTATACTGCTGGGTAGTATTTTATTATGTGGATAATATCACAATTGGTTGTTCCACTCTCCTGCTAGTGGACATTTGGGAGATGTTTCCAATTTGGGGTCATTATAAATAAAGTTGCTGTGTACATTTCAGCACAAGTATTCCGTTAATGTATTATTACTCCAATATCACACTGTTTTGATTATTGTAGCTTCATTATAAGTCTTGAAATCAGATAGTTTAGCCCTCTATCTTTGCTCTACTGTTTCAAAATTATGTTGACTATTCTAAGTTTTGCATTTCCAGATGAGCTTTAGAGTTAGAATGTCATTTATGATCAAAAAAACAAAACAAACAAACAAACAAAAACAGTCTTCTAGGAGTTTGAGTGTGCGTTGAATTTATAGGTTAATTTTGGAAGAATAGATTAATTCATATTAACGAGTGTTCAGATTTATGAACAAGGTAAATCCCTTTAGATCTTTAATATTTCTTACCAAAGTTTTATAGTTTTAAGCATAGAGATCTTTTATATCTCTTTTTAGAATTATCCCAGAGTATTTCACATGTAATTGTTTTGTTAGTGGTATTTTAAAAATCAATATCTGATTATTTATTGCTAGTATATAAAAATAAAATTTTGCCTATTGATCTCATATCCCGCAACCTTGCTAAACTCACGTATTCCAATAGCTTTTTTGGTAGAGTCGATTGGATTGATAGCATAAAAATCATGTCATCTGTGAATAATGACACTTTTACTTCTATTTCAATCTATGCATTTTGTTTATTTTTCTTGCCTTACTGCATTTGCTACAACTCCTAGTCTAAGGTTAAATAAAAATGTTAAGGGCAGACCACTTTATCTTTTTCTCAATCTTAGAGAGAAAGCATTCAGTATCTTACCATTAAATATGTCATCGGTGGTATTTTGTAGTTGACCTTTATCGGATTAAGAAAGTTCTGCTCATAAAATTGTTTTCTGATATTGATATATTTTTAAAGAACCAGCTTTTGACTTCAATTCCAGGGACGAGTGGAATTCTCTATTGGTTTTATGTTTTCTAGTTCATTAATTTCTGCTTTAATTTTTGTTTTCCTCTGCCTACTTTATATTTAATGTGTT